AAGCTCATTTCCATCACGTCTCGAAATGCACTATTCACACTACACGCACTTGCACCACATCTCGATATGAGCTATTCACACTCCACGAGTTGACAACTCGCACAATGTGCGAAGACTGCTCGAGGTACTTCTCAAATGTGAACAGTTATTGCACTGAGTGATATTCACGGGTAGTTCTCCGGAACGTCGGGTCACATCGGTTCGTCGGTCCGGGACCGATGTAACTTATATCATGTAACCCGTCGAAACCCGAACTTTTCGTAGAGGGTTGGTCCGGTTCGGTATTCGGTCGATCAAAGTTCGGTTCGGCGGTCAGGAAATCGAACCGAACATGTGCTGACCCCCATCGTCCTTTCGATATCATCGGAAGGGTAATGGAGATTCTCCATAGGAGAATCAAACCTAAACAATCTCTCGGTTCGAATCTCTGAGAATCCTTCACTGCAAATTTGTGGATTGCACTGTACTGTTGAGCATTACGGTGTAGCCCGTAGAGCACCATAAACACTCGCAATTTGCGAGTCGCAAGTCGATCCGTGGCACGACTCTGACGAGAATTTCCTTCTATCGAATGAAAGTGAGCTTTCATTGGTCGAAATTGGTCTTGTGTTCGACGAATTTGAACTTGCGCTTCCGAATTCACAAATTTCATTTACGAATTTGAACTTTCGTTTTCGACCGGTCAACGAAATTCTAACTTTCATTCCGAATTTGGACCTTCACTTCGCGAAAAACTCCTTTCACTCGTCGAAAATCAAATTTCATTCATCTAATCTGTTCTTTCAATTGTTGAATTCGAGATTGAAAAGGTGTAGTAAAACCATTCAAATGAACAAAACGTATCTTTCGTGCTAATGTCCTGTTAATGAGTTACTCCCTATGAGTGTGTGCACGCGTAGCACGCGTGATGTTGTGTATGGAGTAGTACTCTAGGAGTACGCGACGTGTACTGTAGTCACGGCGTGATTGTCACGCTGCGATCACTTCTGTCCTCAAAACTAACGTCGTTCATTAAGTCGTTAAGTTTTTAAAAAGATCAGCTATTTCAATAGAATTTCGGGTAGTTTATTAAAACCAATCGGTTAAAAGCTGAAAAAAGGCATTTTTCAAAAGAAGTGGGTGAATTATAAAAATTTTGCAAAAATATCGATTTGACCCGGAAATGTTGTAAAACATAGCACAGTAGGGGACAGATGAACACAAAAGATTTCATACAGAAGAATAGGACTGGTCGAGTTCGTATATGAATTCAGGTGTAAGTGCAACGCTACCAATGAGATTTCCTCGGAATTTTCACAGTTATCACCAACACATGTAGTTGACATGGTCAACTTAGCCATATTCATACTTTCCCACACCGTCATTCACAATCACTTCCTTAGAGGAAGTGATTGTGAATGACATACAGCAGAGGGAATTCCTCTGCTGTATGTGGTCCTTCAACCAACGTGTGATGACCTTAATTTGCCTTTGACCTTAGTTTGCCTTTTATGGTTGAAGCTTTGACCATCAATTGTTCTTAGAAAAGGAATGTGCATGCATTGGAGCTCGCAGCAAACCCAGAATCCTTCCAAACATTCTCCGTCTCAAGACTGACATTTCCCAAACTTACATTAGCGCTGTGTGCTTGTACCCCAGACGGCTGTCACCTTACGTACTAAAATCTGTACGTATCAATCGTCACTCGCCACGAAATTGGTAGACTTATCGTAACCGAGAGAAAACATGAAAATAACCGACACTCTCCGCGTTTGACTGTGGTCAACTTAAGGCAGGATCGAGCCGTTCTAAACACTCGCTGAGGGATGAAGGCTAAGAGGAATGAAGGAATCAAGAGACGAAGTCGATGGCCGCTGCCTTAGGACAGAAGAACGTGATTGTTGTATCATGTATTGCTCGTAATTAAGGACCGTTTCAATTGACTGTGGTCAACGCTTCTCGTACTCAACTTGAAACGGTTGACTAAATGATTCGGCCTCGTCCAGGGCATGATCGAATGGAAAAAATTACGGTTATGAAATTAAACATCATATTGTATACAATTTTCCTCAGTCACGATCACACACTTTGCTACAAGTGCATATATCATCAATGCAACATGTGTCATAATGGCAGCAAGGGCACGGCAGTTTTTTGCCATGACAACAGTCGTCATCAAGCAGCATCGCAGCGAACTCCTCGAAGAGGGAGACCAACAAGATCAGATACCATAGCCTCATTTAATAAAGTGTAACTATAACGATATAGGTTACCCTACGACACAACGATGTTCTTGTTGTTCCTTAGTTTGACGTTTAAGTGTTAGTTTAGTTTAGATGTATTGTAACTAGTGGAAAAACTCTACTGTTGTGTTTACCATTGCAACTACTAAGAGCAAGGCAGATCATGATGCATGATGCGCTAAATCGGGCAACAACGGTGTTAACGCAGTATTATACTACTAGACCAATGAATAAGAGAGTGATGAACAGCTCGTGGTACTCTCTAGGGAATAATGAGCAGTCTTTCTAACACAACCTGGAATGTTCTCGAAAGATGCCATGAATAATGGGTATCTTCCTCCTGAGAAAGAGGGAAACTACTGAGCTGAACTGATAGGAAGAAGCTTATATTTCAATGATTGAAATATATGTGGAAATGATTGAATGAATATATGAACGATTGAAATTCGATCTTGGATATGTTCTCATGTAAATCATGAAATCATGAAACTATTCCATTTCCACAGTCATCTCTTGGAAGGCCGGTGCGCAGCCTCACGCTGAACTCTCCACTATTCTAAGGTACAATACGCCGCGTATTATACGCGCAATCTAAAGACTCAATTTCCTGTGGTAGGCCCAACTTCTTAACTACTGCTCATCTCAACCTGAAAATTTGTATAGGAATTCTTCAAACTGTTTGAAGAATCCCTATACAAATTTGGTGTTTGAATCAAACATGATTATATTGTTTAAATAGGCCACCGACTGGAGGAGAATAATTTCTGCACTAGATTACGCGAACTGTATTCCTTGAAGTCGCCACTAATACCGAGAAGACACTAGTCTATAACTACACCGCCGTAGTCGCGACCTGAATTGAAAAGCAACTGCCCCCACTTCAAATCCAAGAGAGATTTTATCCTTCACAATCCGATGGTGGTAAATTGATCACTTCACGGAAAAAATTCATGAAATCGCGTAGTAGGTTTTTACAGGGTGATGGAAAAAAAGGTTCGCCCTTCGTAATTTCTCAGCACAATTTCGTTTTTTGCTATCTTATTCCACTTGGGAGCCCCACGTTTCACGGGAAATCAATAGGCATACTCTTGCATGCATCCCCCCAGATTTGTTGTCAGACGTAAAATCTTACGCCTTAGAAGTATGTGTTGGAGACTTGAAACAACGAGAGCGCCTATAGTTTTAGACTGCAATTGTATTCTTGCGGTAATAGGTTGCTCGATCAGGCGTACGGAAGAGGGCAGCGTATCTTCACAGGCGTATAGTTTACAGCTCCTAGCAATAATCCTGGTCACCCCGTAGTTGTTTGTAACTTGTCAAACTACGCAGAATTGAGCTATGTAGGGATATATAGGCTAGATTCAACGATAAAAGTGTTACGAGAAAGTATCGCACCTGATACCTATCGAACGCTATGCCTGGACACTAACCATTACGCAATCAGTCACACTTCAATGTGGAAGAATAAGATGATGGCGTGTTTGAACGTACGCGTACGGATTTGCACGCAAACACAACTGGGAGGCAGCACTGATAATTGAATGATTTAAAGGTTATTCATATCACTTCACATGCTCATATTGCTTCTGCGATGTAGTTTCAGATCAGCTTTCAACAATCTCGGAAAATGACACACATTTCCTACATTTGCATGTCAAATTGATACTGACTAGTCGTAGAAGAATACGAGTAAGGTGATTGCGAGAATCCCCTGGTTACATATGCAGTGATCTCAACACCATTCAGTTCGATATGTCTATTATTTTCCATTCTCTTATATGGCCAGTTGCAATACTCGCATTGCTCTGCGGCTTAGGTTCGACCGCGTCGGATAATCTACTAGTATTCTCATCAGAGCAGCTCCTACTAGAAGTTGTGAAATGGAGCTCAGAAAAGACTTCTGGGCTTCCTCGAATCACAGTTGTGCTGCACAGCAATAACCCTTTGAACTACACGACTCATTGCGAGCTCAACAGAGTGTTCAAAACTGCCATGGTTGCTGACCAAGATGGTGTTAATAGCGAGGAGATCATCGCTGACTTTAAACGAGTCGCGGCTTCTGTCGATGGGGATGCCGATTTCGCCCGAGTCCGGTTCATTCAAGCGTCTGAGGTCGACCCCAGGCGTGGTCGTATTACTGTTTTCATCGGTGAGAGCTGCCATGCTTCAGTGCTAGTCACGGCTTACACGCCATTTCATTTGCTACCAGAATGGATAACCGAAATTGACTTACCGTTGATTCAGCATGACTATGTGCCTGAGTGGCTCGTGGAGACGGCAAGTGACAGATCTCTACCTTTGTTGTTGACAACTACTACCAGTACTGTTTCATTGGGAGTTCTTTCCTATGGTTATCTTGGTGACATGCGAGCGTATCACCACTCAGGGTGTCACCATTCCCGGCGCGAAGTGCGGCCGATTCGCAACGCTAGCGGGTATTGTAACCCGTTGGACTTGCAAGAAGGCGTTCCGCTTTGTCGAAGACAACTACTTGTAGTGCACAGGAATGATGGAAGCCACGAAACGCAACTTATTGACTATGATCATGCTGATGCGTATTTTTTCGACGGTCGTGATGAAAAACTGCAGTATTGGGTTGAAGACTATTTCTACTCAAGACTGTCTCCGAACGCATCACTTCTGATTGATGAAAACAGTGACGGAGCTCACAAGGGTGGAGTCGACGTTCTCAAGATACTCATTGTTGCTGTTATTGTTGCAGCACCACATTACATGATCTCGAATTTTAACGTGGCTTGCGCTGCGTCCGTCCTGGTCATGGTCTTGGCTAGTAATACTCCTGGTGCGGTTATAGGCATCTTATTGATAGCATCAAAGCGAGCACGTGCGGTGTCTCGACTTCTGTCTACATCTAGTTCGTACTTAGCAGTAGCTTTGTCGTCTCTCATGGTGTTCGGAAACAACACTGCATGCT